CAATATACACCATTTAAACGAAACATGACTGTCGTTGCAAAAATCAAAGTTCCTGAGCTATTTTAAAAATCAGAGCGAGAGGCTTTTAACATTGCAGTATAAAATACAGGCTAAAATGGCTGAAACGTCAAATTTGCAAACTTCGTGTTGAAATATGGCTAACAAGGCAGGTCATTACAAAAACAGGTTGCCGGGATGAAACTTTAAACTTGAATGTCCAAAGAATAAGCAAGTCCAAACCTTGTATGTGTAGTCGTTGAACTCTAGGTTCCCACGTAAAGTTAAAATGCCCCTATTTCAAGAAGAATAAACTTACGAAAACACGAAAAATTCACTAAATTCGCGTTCATTGTTTTGATTTTGACCGCCTGACAACTTTACGGAAATATCAGAGTGATTATAAACAAGGACTCTGTGACGGGCAACTTATAATATCCGTGTTTTACAGATTTTAATGATATCAAGCCAGTCCAGTTCAAACTATTATCACGTGGTACAATTCTCATTTACATATTATGAATATTAATTAGCAAAAGTACTACTAATTTCTGGCTATGCAATATTCAAGCTTTATACAGCTCTGAATTTGGATAGTGATTAAATATTTGACACATTATAGATTTATGACACAGAATAAATGTGGTCAGAAAACTTAAAAATTTGAAATGGGACATTTAATCTACTTAATGGTCCAATATCCAAAATCTAATTCCATGGTTAGATTAGGAATATAAAAATTCAAACAAAGTTTAATTTTGGACCCTTTGGACCTTAATATGCACTAATTTGAAAACAGTGCCCAAAATTAAAAAATCTGAATGCACAGTTAGATTCAGCATATCATAGAACCACCAGAATTCAGTTTTTGATGAAATCAAACAAAGTCTAATTTTGGACCCTTTGGACCTCATTGTAGACCCTTTTTAATAATGTCCAAATATCCAATATAGTAATACATGGCCATGGTAAAAACCTAAAAAATTTCAAGACTTTAAATTAATCCTCATTGAAATTTGTTAAAAGATTTGTATTTATTTTCAACTGAAGATTTCTTGCTGTTGTGCAATACTTAGTAAATCTGTTTACAAACTAAATATAATAATTTACACACCCTGTTTGGTGTGTACCTCCTGCCATATCAGTATTTGCTGTTTCTTTATATAAATCAGAAATAATTTATGTTAGAACCAGCTTAGCCAGTATTAGAAAAGTCTTGTTTTTGGCCCCTATTTGGCCTCTAGTTTCTTAACCATTAAAGCCACAACCCACAAAATTGACCCCAATCTTCTGTGTGTGGTATGGAACCTTGTGGTACAATTTCATAGAGATCCATTGACTAATACTTAAGTATTTGTCCGGAAACCAGAAAAACCTTGTTCCTCCACCCCCTCCCCCCCCCCCCCTCCCATTTTTGTGCCCCTTATTCCTGAACAGTTTGAGCCACAACCCCTAAAGTCAAACCTAACCTTCCCTTTATGGAACCTTGTGTTTCAATTTCATATAGATCCATAGACTTATACTTAAGTAATTGTCCATTAACTAGAAAAACCTTGTTTTTCCCCCCTTTTTTTGCCCATAATTCCTAAACGGTTTGGGCCATTACCCAAAGTCAATCCCAACCTTCCCTTTGGGGTATGGAACCTTGTGGTACAATTTCAAAGAGATCCATACACTTATACACAAGTTATTGTCCAGAAACGAGAAAAATGCCTTTTTTGGCCCCTTTTTGACCCCTAATTCCTGAACAGTTGGGACCGTAACCCCCAAAATCAATTCCAATCTTCCTTTTGTGCTATTGAACCTTGTGGTTAAATTTCAAAGAGATCCATTCACTTATACTAAAGTAATTGTCCGGAAACCAAATGTCCTTGGACGACGACGACATGATAGCCATATACGAACGCAAATTTTTTGCGATCGTATAAAAATCAACTTTAATAGCAATAACTCTTCTAAGTGGTCAATTGACGATTACATCCATGTTATATATTATTTTGCCGAACGTTTCTGCTTTTAACAATTTCTCTCTTGTAGTTACTGCAAAATTTCTTTCAAGGCAATAACACCAATATGGGTCAATTGACGATATGTTCATCTTACTTATTTGTAGATCATATTTTGATGAACATTTTGACCAGTGAAAATTCTATCTATCTACTATAATTTCCACAAAAAATGCAAAACTGGTAAAAATCATCATTCAAATGCAACAATTCTCTATACCTGTTGTAGTTTTTAAAATAATTACCAAAACCTTCAAAATATTGATATTCAGGTACCGTAACTCCTAAAGGGGTTCTCCGATTTTTCAAAAATTTCTATAGGTGATAAACCTTGACATGATAATCTTATTTATCCATTGTCAGTTTTGCTTTAATTGATGATAGTTTTAGAGATTTAAGCCAAAAACTCTAAAATTTGCAAAAAATTTACATCTCAGGGGCAATAACTCTAAAATTCAATAGAAAAATATAGAACTTGACCTGTTTGATCATTCTTAAAATATCAGGTTTGCTCTTATTGCTTCAATTTTAGAGATATGAGTCATAAACTGTTAACACAGAGACATGTCTTGCCTTTTTGTAATTTTGATAATGCAAATGTTGAAATTAAAATAGCAATACTTTAACATATAAGTTATGCAAATATTCAAAGTCGATGAACCATAACTGAAGGTACATGGCTAAACAATCTCCATGGAAATGAGATGTGCCAGTGCTAATACAACTGCATACCAAATACCATTGACTTATATAAGTTGCTTATTTTTGGCCCCTTTTTGGCCCCTTTTTTGCCCTCAATTCCTTTACTGTTGGTACCATAACCCCCAAAATCAATCCCAACCTTCCTTTTGTGGTATTGAACCTTATGGTAAAATTTCATAGAGATCCATTCACTTAAACTAAAGTTAGAGTGCGAAAACCAATGTGTCTTCGGACGACGCCAGACGACGCCGGTCGACAACGGCGACGACAACGACGCCAACGTCATACCAATATACGACCACAAAAATTTTTTGCGGTCGTATAAAAATAACTTGTAAACTATATAAAAGTTTCAAAGTCGATGAACCATGATGAGGGGGTGGGGCTATATAATCTCCATGGAAACGATACTTGCAAATGCCAATAAATTTGCACACCAAATATCATCGACTTATTAGCAGTTCATCTTAAACTGATCTAATCAAAAACTAATACATGTAAACTAAGCAAAAGTTTCAAAGTCAATAGACCATGACTGAGGGGGCGGGGCTAAATATTCTCCATGGAAATGAGATGTGCTAATGCTTATACAACCGAATACCAATTAACATTGGTCTACAACTAATGGTTCCCCTTGAACTGACCTACCGGTAATCACAAACTAATAAATGTAAACTAAGCAAAAGTTTCAAAGTCAATTATAGACCTTGACTGAGGGGGCAGGGTCAAATAATCTCCATGGAAATGAGATGTGCCAAAGCTAATACAACTGCATACCAAATATCCTTGACCTACGACTTGTGGTTCACCATAAACTAGACCTAATCACAAACTAATACATTGTTGACTCTGCCGCCGGAAACAGCATACCTATGTCTCCGTCAAGGCGAGACAAAAAACTGCATTTTATCTGCTGTTCTATCTTTAGCATCAGAAGCCATGTTTGATGATGGATCAAATCCCTGGATACAAGTTTTTAACTAGATTCCTTAAAGAACGTTCAGATAAAGTTTGGTAATATTGGGCCCAATAGTTTCAGAGGAGAAATTTTATCTTAAAAGTATAAGACGAGAAATGGACATTGGATGCAATGTGATGGCAAAACCTCACATGACCTTTTAAACCAGGTGAGCTAAAAAGCTGATTAGTGCTACAGAATGTTAACATCTAAAGATGACTTAATCTAAATTTCTGCACACTCCAATTCCAACTCAAAAGTCTTTGTTTAGTCTTGTCCTTAATGCCAGCTGTGTAATTATTTATGTATTGTGTCTGAACCTGTCTGTAGAAAAACCTCCAATCCAATTTCAGCAAATCAATGCTGGCCTGTATTTGTTCATTATTATTCATTCATGGGTCATAGATAAACCTGGCTAATTCCAAGTACCTTTTCCATAAATTTCGTATTATGTTTTCCCATTGTGAAATTTTTTGACCTGCTAAACAGGTCACCTTATACCATTGTAGTGGTATTGTCAATGTAAAGGTCATCTCTCTTACAAGGTCACTCTTCTTTGATCCAGAGGGGTGACCTTTATATACAGACTTGATTTTGGGAAAACCTGGTGTCCATAATTATATGAAAAGATTATCAGGTTTTCTGCACATTAATGCCATACTATTTTTTGTGTTGTTTTTTTTTAACCTTTGTTTCACCAGCAATCATACTTATCAATGTTGGTTCTTTCATTTTGATGTCGTTGATATGTCCGGTTCAAACTTATTAAGGCCAGGTCAAGGTATTTGAAGTCACAAAGCCGTGATATGCAATTTTATGAAGAGCTGAACAGAGTGATACAGACAATGGGAACACCAATAATATAAAGTAGAGAATCAATGCATAATACTGTCAACCAACTATTTTTGCTAACCACTTATTTACAGGAGTACAAATAATGTATTAAAAGTTGTCTAAAGTATCTCAAACTCGAATCTTCTCTTATATGAATAAATCAACAAAGTAAGAGATTAGAGAAACATTCTGTATGTGCCTCTCCTAAGTCAGGAGCCTGTAGTTCAGTAGTTCAGTGGTGATTGTTCTTTCATGTCTGTTGTATTTCTCTTTCGTAAATAGTTTTGTTGAAAATAAGGCCGTTATTTTTCTTGTTTGAATTGTTTCACATTTTTCATGTCAGGCATTTTATAGCAGACAAAAGGTATGGGTTTTTCTCTTTGTTGCTTATATCTACTTCATTTGAACTCTGGTGGATATTTGTCTCATTGGCAATCATACAGCATCTTCTTATTTTTATATTTACGATATAAATAATGTAAGGAAGAATGAAAACACCATAGTATATTATCAAGTTGATTTTAATGTTATTTTTTCCTGAATCCATTAACTAGGAGGATGATTATAACTGTATTAACACAGTCTTACCAATGATGAAAACAAATAAACCAACAGATAATAATGTCAAGGTTACCACATTAACAAATGTCAAGGTCATCACATTAACATATTGTTAATGTCAAGGTTAACATGTTTAACAAAGAAATAGCATCATTCTGTACAAAGTTATTTGTAAATAACAAAATAATAACACAAATGAAAAGACCTATCCTTAGGAAATAGTCCACAATAAAATCAAATTGTTAGGGAACCAGTCCATTAGAAAACCAGTCTAGTGCAAGATTGGCTCATATGTTAAAACAATTAAAATGTTGAGTAACAGAAACATTTGTTTATCTAAAAGGCTTTTGCTATTTAAATTTCATATCAATAATACAATTATTTAGCTACAATGTATTTAAAAATTAAAAAAAATATTCCAGATTAAATTTATTACGTTTGGAATTAAAATGCAGAAATTTATTATGTTTATTACAGTGAACCACAGTTTAGACCAATTTTAAATTGTAAAAATATATTTACATTTCTGTTCATAAAAATGGTAAAAACACAGCTTTGTAGCTAAAACTCTTGGGGAATTTAATTTACTTCCATGCATTTCTAATGACTTAGCTAAAAACACAGTGCCACAAAAGTAATTTCATATGCAAAATATTATTTATAATTCACAATGAAATTATGCCAAGTCAATCTGTATCAATTTAAGGAAAATGTTTTAGTTCTATTGGAAATAGAGATATCACAGAAAACAGTCATAAATTTCATTAAAATCATTTTTTTTTCATAAAAAGAACACAAGTCTGTAACAGACTTATTGCAAGAGTAGAACAAATTATGAATTAAAATTAACGTTCCCTGATGTATATATTTGAAGTCAAGTTTCCCAAAAATTTAAGCAAAATTTCATTTTCTTAAGTAATAAACAATTATTGAATTAAATTTCATTTATGAACTAAAAAAAAATAATCAGGGGACATAATCAAAACTCTAATAAAAATAAGGATTACTGGTTTCATAAACCAGATTGAGAATGCTTGTAGGGGATGGTAACCAGATTGAGGACATTCATAGGGATTGTGATTTCATTTGAGGACCACTGTATATCATAAAAAGGCAATAAAAAGTTACAATAATCAACCATTACAACCTTGTATTCATCAAGTAAGGTAGATAACTCCATTTTTAATCTGTTATAACTCCTTAACCAATATTTTTACTTAATATCAACAAAATATTAAAAATTGTTACACAATTTGTTAAACTAATTACAAGAATTTATTCAAATGATAATAGGCATTACACTAAACCTTCTTTATCATTTGTGTTCAAGATATCTTCATCTTTTTATCTTGGTTTAATTCATCAATTACTACTCTTTCACACCTTAAGTGTGCGTTTTAAAAGATCTCTTTTTCAGACATTAGAATTTATTATGAGATTTAGTACAATTGACAGAAAAAACAATAATAAAACTTTCATTAACAATAAACTTAACAGAAGATAGCACTTTATATCGCTTTCCAGACACCACAATGAGGCATCAGTTCGCCATTTCAGAATCTAATGCATTCTGGGTATTATTTGTTAAAGGGTATACCAAAACTCAACCAGTGATGTGATGTTATTCTTATCTAGGTGAAAATTACCCATAATCTTTTAAATTATGAAACGGAGAATTGTTCACATTTTACAGCTTGCCTTTAAATTCTATAGAAGATCTCTTAAGACATTTTCTGCATTGTTCACATTGGTTTCAATCTTTTTTAGAACATTTCATTTCTTTTTTTTAACTTTAGAAAATGGCTGCAACAATGTTATTTGGCTTCTGAAACTATTTGTCTCAAGATGACCTCATCATGGTATTATGCACACAGAAATCGGTATTTTCACTTCTATCACCTCCATATTAAAGGTTAAAGGTTAAAGGGTTTAAGAGAAAAAAATTGAGCATTTATTTTTTTAAATGGCTTACCCGTGTTAACAATAATCACATTTGTTTAGAAATCAAAGTGCTTGTGAGCACTGTAGGTAAAGATTGCATTCATTTTGCAGTGTGAACTAAAATTGCAGTGTATTAACAAAAGAAGGCAATATTTTGAAGTGGGTATATCTTATTTGTCTATATATACAGTTTGTTCAACTCAATTATGAGCAAAGGAAGATAACTCCACTGTTATTATTACCTGTAATGACTATTTTTAGATCAGATAAAATCCCTTATGGAAATTTTCAATAAATAAGTTTTCATGACAAGTATGGTTATACTAATACACATTATTTTGTTACTTGGATATCTAAGTATATATTTCATTGATAAATTAAATCGAAATGTACATGGATAAAATGTAAAGAATGCTCACCTCAATGCACTATGTTTTTTGTTCCCTTACAAGTAGCGATGAGGTCTGGAAAATATAACTACCAAACCAGTCCCATAAGGGTTTTGATTACATGAATGCAATCTTTACCCAAAAAAATCGCAATGGCTTAGAGAAAGCACTTGCTTGAAAGTGTTACAGGTTAAAGAAACAGCTAACAACAAGGTTGCAAAAAAAGTGACATGTTCATCAGTCAACTATACTTAATTAAGCCTATTTGTATTGCTTTAATAATTTTAAATTAACCTTACAGCCAACATTAAAAAGGATTCTGTTAAAACAGGTTATTTTCAATGAAGAGGTAATTTTTCAAGGACAGAACATGTAAGTTACATGTATGCGCATCAATTAGATGAAGGAAATCAAATTTTAGATTTTAATCCTTGAAAATATTCTAATTTTTGCTGAACACTTTCTTTTCTGTTCTCTATGAAAATATATATGGTGACTTCTAGCAAGAAGAACTAATATTCATACTGTAAAACACTTGCAGTCGAACTGAGTACTCGAAGAAATTGATTAAAAAAAAAGGAATAGAATGAGAGGACCTAAAACTTTAATGGTGAATGGCCTTATTTTCAATAGTTTTGTCTCCATTTTAGTGGAATGGCTCCAAAATTGATATTTACAATGAGACTGTCAGATATAAAAAAATTGTCCAGGAAAACTTTTTTTATTATATTTTAAAAGACCATAAAAGCACTATGTTTTGTTTAATAAACAGTAATCTGACACAAGAATTTGAATTTTCTTTTTGGATAACTTTACAAGAGAGAAAATTGAATTTAACCTAATTTTTGTCTAAACTGGACAAAGTTTTTATACTGACCTGTTATAGCACAACATATTGATGATTAAATCCAACAAAAATATACTTTACATATTACATGATAACAGTTATTTGTGTATATTGTGTATATACAGTTAATATTTATGTACATTATATATACAGAGAAATTAACAACACATGATAAATATTTCATTTACATGTAATTAATCACTGAATATGTGTACAATATTTGATGATATATGTGCAAATGTGAATTAATATGACCATACAAATCGTCACAGAAGTCAAGGTCAACAATAACAGAATTACCTCACTTTGTACATAAGGAAAATCAAATAACATAAAAAGTTTTATTCCATATGTCTTTTTGATAATTTAGATATTTTGCTTTTTGACCTTGTATCACTTCTATGACCTTGACTGAATATTTCATGACCTCTATCATATACATATTAAATCATTTACATTATGCCCTTTACAAATTTATAGTCCACAACATTGATGTCAAGTGAAGAAGCAAAATACTTTCACTTTGTATCGTAACCATGGTTACACAACTGTAGTTTCCATTATGGGACTATGACATATTACCCGTGTTTGTAATTTATTGTCTCCAGCTTTTCGTTGTATCATTATAACCATTTTGATTTACACATCATGATCCATCAAAATCCTCCTTCCTTCCACTGAACTTTTATTTTCTTTGATTCAACTTTTCTGATTTCTTCAATCCTTTCTGCTTTATTCCCACAAAATGAAACGAATGAATTCCTTCCCTGTTTCATGCACTTTGACCTTCATTAAGTTTCATACTCCATAAAAGCTGCCAGGTTCAAAATCGGCCCTATTTTTAGTCACATTATAATGTGCAGATATACTGGCAAACGGCTGACAAAAATTCATACCATCACAAATATGTGTTCTTTTAATACAAATCCAATCCTTTTATTGAAAAATCCCTGAATCTGATATTTAATGACCAGAACTATGGTTTAAAAATCGTCATTTCCGACTTAAAGGCAATCAACATGCGTAAATAATTTGAGCAGTAAAATAGTTTAACTATAATGAGATCACCAGAACGTTTTGCTCCATTTATCACTACTCTAAGTTATTAACATCTTCTTAAACATAAAACTTAAACGAGTAACAAAAACAAAGTCTGTCTATATACTCTATACATGCAATATAGGGTTAAAATCTAGGTCAAAACTTTCCTAATACGAAAATAGTCATCTAGCGCTAATAATAAAATGTCCCTGGGTTATTCCTTTGTAGGCACTTTGTGCAACCCAATAAAAACATATACAGCATTGAAAATTCTTCCATCTTTCGATCTGTACACGAAAAGTCTGGTTTCTAAAATATTTGCAAATTTTGTTGAATATAAAGACATTCTAACAAACATACACAAATATTTTTCACTACAAGTTATAATATCACTGTTTTGTAGTATTGTTTTAAAAAATCCTTTTATCCACCAAATATGGTATTGGACAATTTACAAGAAGCAACCATATGGTAGATTTCATACAAAAAAATAACTGGCCTAATCACAAACCTTTGACATCATTTTCTCAGATGTCTTTTTCTTCAGTAAAGTGCACTTAAACTGTCATTTATGAGTGCACATCACAAATTGATATCACAAATTTAGGTCACTTGAACCTATTTTCTCCACATTAAGGTTTCTGTGACCTATTTTTCAAATAGCACTTCCTTTTGCTTAATCAATATTAAGTGGAAAAAAATACAGTTAGTTGAATTCATTGTTTTTTCTGTATTGATTTTCCATTGAAGTAGATTTTCTGCTGACGCTTGTTAACACACTGATGAAATGTTAACACGTCAAATCAAGAACAGCTGTTAACATTAACAAACAGGCTGATTTTTATCAGTCAATATTCCTGTAATGTTTGTATAACATCAACACATCTGTCTGATGCTATGATAATGTAGATGGCACTTATATTAATATAAAATGGCGTCTAAATTAAAGCTGTCGTCATTCGGACAGTAACTGTTGTAGTAAACTATTTTTGTGGTCTGGCGGTTTCATGTCATCAACACTTGTCTGAAATAAAAAAAAAAATAAATAAATATTTTGATGCAATTTTCTATAAAATATGATTTGAAAAAGAATTTTTTGCTGACATATAAATCATGAACTTTTAAAATGTGTGAGTTTCAAATACATAAATGTTAATGTAAAAAAACCAAAATATAACATTTATAATGATTTTAAGAAAAAAAATTTTTGCTGACATATTAAATCATGAACTTTATTAACATGCAAGTTTCAAATACATCAATGTCATTATGATAACACATAATATAAAGTTTGAGAGGCAATTTACAACAAAACAATATAAGGAAAAATATGTTTTGCTGCAATATGAATCATTAACTTTTAACATGTGTGAGTTTCAAATACATAAATGTCAAAATGTCAATTTAAAAAAACAAAATATGATTTTAATAAAAATATTTTTTGCTTATATAAATTATAAACTTTTATCGCAAATAGGTTTCAAATACATTATGTCAATGTTTCAAAGAAACCATCAGAGCCTGAGTAAAGTCACAACCGCTTAATAAAATGGACTTCCTTGGTTGTTAAGTAATACACTTAACCCTTGAATGGAGTCTATACCTCACTTTTACTAAACGAATTCACCCTTTGTTTCTTAGTAGCTACTTAAACATGACTGAAAAATTAATGTTTATACAACTTAAAGATACAATGGACTAAATCTTGTTCCTTAGTTACAACTTGAACCTGTAGACATGATGGATACAATGGACTCACCCTTGGATCCTATGCAACCACTTGACCCAGGTGGAGTGTATACTTTCCAACCACTATAAGATTTAATGGACTCACCTTTGGTTCCTTGGTAACAACTTAAATCTGATACCACTTTAATACCTCCCTACTACAATAAGATATAATGAACTCACCCTCGGTTCCTTAGTAACCATCTGAACCTGAAACCACTTTAATACCTCCCTACCACGGACAGATGTAATGAACTCACCCTTGGTTCCTAAGTTACCATTTGAACCTGAAACAACTTTAATACCTCCCTACCACAAACAGACAATGAACTTATCCTGAGATCTTTAGTAACCCCTTTAATACCTCCCTACCACAAATAGATGCATTGAACTCATTCTTAGTATTAGTAACCACTTGAACCTGATAACATACCACATCTCCTTATTCTTATATTGAAAACTCTTTAATACCTCCCTACCACAAATATATTTAATGGACTCACCCTTGGTTCCTTAGTAACCACTTGAACCTGATTGGTATCTATACTAGTTGACCTCTGTAATAAAGGCTGATTCTGACTGTTCATTACTTGAGTCATTAATTGTTTCCTAAATATTGTGCTTGGTATCACATCATTTGATTCCTCTTCTGAAATTAAAAGACAGATTTTACATTAAAAAAATCACAGAGAAATGATTGATTGGTTGGTTAATCGTTGGTTAATGTTACATGAATATAATAGGGAGAGGGTTGAGATCTCACAAAACATGGTTAACCCTGCAGTATTTTTGCGCCTGTCCCAAGTCCGGAACCTCTGGCCATTGTTAGTCTTGTGTTTTTTAATTTCGGTTCATTTATATGTTTCTGAGTTTTTACTATGCGCTAGTTCACATTTTTGTTATGGGGTCAGTTGAAGTCGGCCTCCGTGTGTTGGTTCTTCTCGCTGTGTTGAAGACCAATTGGTGGCCTTGGGCTGTTTTCTGCTCTTTGGTCGGATGTTGTCTCTTTGCACATTCCTTGTTTCCATTCTCAATTTTATACCCTGCTTGGTACGAGACCTTTTCGTACAATCTCAATATGATTGAGTCTTATGTAGACAATAAGTGTGTCTGGCATACCTAATTATAAGCCTTGTATCTTTATTGAGTCTTATGTAGACGATAAGTGTGTCTGGCATACCTAATAATAAGCCTGGTACCTTCATTGAGTCTTTATTATTGTGGTTGTTTAACTAAGGACACAAATATGAGATCAATTATTACTAGTTCAAATAATGCTGTATACAAATAATGCTCTCAAAATCAAATTGCAAGAAACCCTATCATGTCACAATAATGAAATCATCACAAATGTTTTTGTCTGGATTTTACAGTAATTATTATGATTTCATAAAATGCCTCATACTAATAATGATAATGTGAATTTAGTTTTGCAAAACCAATTCCATGGCACTTAAAAATACATCACAAATTTTTTTATTTATCTTTTTTTTTTAACCTACTTTGATCCATCCTGGCCTCGGCTTTAGCAAGAGCTTGGAATTTTTCATAAACTTGTTTCGCCTCCTCCCTTTTCCTCTTCAGGACATCTTCCTCTTTGAGATCTTCCAAATTTAATCCACCACCAGCCGTACCAGTCATGACACCATGGTCTTTAGCCATTTCAGTTACTGCAAGTACGGAACAGTTATAACTTAATTTGATTCAAAGTATGATTACTGTACAATGGTTTATTTTCAAGTACAAACCTGATTGCAGGGTATATTTTTCGAGTTTTTCTAGTTTCTGACATTCTTTTGAGATTAAATTTAAGCAAGGGCAAAATGCAGCAAATATTGAAGAGCGAAAATTTAATTTGATTCAATGTCTGATAACTATAATATGGTTTATTTTTCGCAGAGATAAAATTTCATAATTTCAAAGTCAAAAAATATTTGCCAGAAATTTTATTTGAGCTTATCTAGTTTCTGACTACTGTAAATAGTTTCTGACTACTGTGAATAGTTTCTGACTACTGTGAAAGTACTTTTATTTGTGGGGTACCTGTTTAGTGGTTTTCGTGGATGACTTTATCCACGAATTTAAGTGTCCAACGGAGTATAACAACTGTTGTCCAAATCAAGACATGGAAAGATCCCCATGTAGGATCATGTAGGTTTGACTACATCGATACAGGCATATCATGTAGAGAGTACATCAAATATCAGCAAACGTACTATGAATTATACATATTATCGCACCGCGGGTAAATTATCACGTTGTGATTGGTTTAATGCCGTCACGTGGTTGACCCCCTATAGATCCGTAGGGGGTTAGTAAATTTCATAGGGGTTCATGACGTCACGTCTACTGTTAATGGTGACGTCATCTATTAATGTTGTTGTGTTTCATTGTTTATTTTTCTACAAAACGCAGCAGAAAAAGTCCCGCGTGCGATAAATTCGTTATACGGTTCACTACTGACCCCCTACGGACCATAGAGGGTGAATAAAATCCATAGGAGATTCGGCCTTGGGCCTCACCCCCTATGGATTTTACTTACCCTCTATGGATCCGTAGGGGGTCAGTAGCGAACCATATAACTTATAGTATACAACTTCAGATAGGATTTTACCCATTTAATCTTTTAAAGACCTTAGCTGTCCGACTTTAAACTTTTTAAAATTCTTATGCAAAATTAGTTTTGATCGATGAGAGTCAGACTGCCGTTGATGATATGCGATGAAGTGTTCATTTTATCTCCTCATATAAATTATACGAAGAAAAAAAATTGCATAGGGCTTGCTTTTTTTTATTTCATAAGAATTAGTTCTACAAGTCAAAAGTACATTTGAAGCATGTTTTTATGTAACTGTTTTCTTTAAGTGACATGTTTATGGCCCAATTAACACCTCTGATGTTCGTTAATCTGTTAATCATTCAATCTCAGGTTGATTAGTGTCATTACATCTGATTACATGTGTGCAACAACAAAAATGTTTACTTTGCAATAGTATCATAAATTACACCAACATGAAGCAATAATTGTTGATCAGGTCTTAAAATACCAATACTGTAATTTTATTCTATATCTTCTGTATTATTTATCCTCTCCAGTTGGGTTCCCAATTTTATATATCATTCTAGCCAATAGAACCTAAGCCGTATCATAAAGCAACCAATCAGAGCCAATATTTGTTAAATAATAATTTCAAGATGGCTTAAATATGGAATGAGAAAATGCCTTCACATCATGAAGTGAAGCAAAAAAGATTATTTTTATATAACTTACTTTGGTCTAAAATATCAAGTGGTATTTCTGAATCATAATCTAACGTCACCGACTGTTGCTGCTGCTGCTGTTGATGTTGTTGTTGTTGGTGTTGGGAATATGGTGGTAACTGGGGTGATGTCATTGGTTGTTGCTGAGGATGTGGTGAGGTTAGGTTCTGTTGAGAATGAGGTGAGGTTAAAGGTTGTTGCTGGGGTGATTGTAAGGAGAGGGACTGTGATGTATGATGTTGATTTATCTGCTGCATTTGTTTTTCCGATCGTGCGGTACATATATTCCGTAACTCCTGCTTGACGAAGTCTGATTTGTTCATGCTCATTTTACTGAAAGGGAAATATAGAAAAAATATTTCACTTACAAATTACAGTAATATTTATTAAAATATGACTGATATAGGTAAACATATGATTGAATGTAAGTAAAATCTATGAAAAACTTTACCAAAATTATCTTTAAAAACTCCTTTCTCAACACCCAATCTATTGACTTTTTTATAAATCAAAACTCATCTTCTCAAAAAAAAAATATATAGAAAATATTTCACTCTCTAGGTTTACAAAAACCAGTTCTACTAGAGATAATTGTGAAGTTAATTTGATTAATTAATCAGTCTTCATGTGCAACCTTATTCCCCAGTAGTCATGGCCCTTCAAATATCTTTCCACCTGTATGAGTTTCATTAACAAGCAGTTAGTCTATTAAAAAAATTCCAAAGCTCCGTGTTGAAGGCCGTACTTTAACCTATAATTTTTTACTTTTTACACATTGTGACTTGGATGGAGAGTTGTCTCATTGGCACTCATACCACATCTTTTTATTTCTAATTATGCTTTTCTGAAAAATTAAAAAAAAAAACAAATTATGCAGTCTTTTAATCAAAACTTTAAAATGTGCTATAGCCATATAATTAACTTCGTAATAAAATCAACAGATTTTTTTCAAAGGCCCTTGTTGTCTATTAAAATAAACTAAAGTTAAATTTATTTATTTATTTTCCCCTAAAAGATCCTCCTTCATTTTTAGAAAATTGTGAATAAAACAAATGATGTAAAAAATGTGGGTAAAAATTCACTAACTTTTCTATATCAAGCTGCATCTCATAATCACCGAATCCATTATTTGATGAAGCTACTGAATTAATTCCTTGATTCATATTCTGCACTGGTGATAATGACGATGGGACTCCCATCCCTCCCGATGACGATGGCACACACATCACGCCAGATGTTTGGTTATAAGATGGACTGATCTGACTCGTTGACTGTCGTAAGGAGTTGTTAGGCGATATGGAGTTAGGAGACATTAACATAGGGTCTGGACTATTTCCAAATGGACTCTGCGATGTTCTCGGAGAGCCACGACCTGAAAAAAAACAATAATGTGTGATCTTGTCAAATTTATATGGACAAAATAAAGAAAAATTCAGAGAATCAGATATAAGGTAAAACTTTCTACTTTCTCCCTAAAAAAATATCCCTCTTCATGCTATAAGAACTTATTTCTTTAGATACATGCACAATAATATTAATCTGCCGAATACACTTAAAACTTATTAGCAAAAGTGATAAACCGAAATTTCTTTTTAATCTTAAAGGCTAATTACATAAAAATCTAACTGTTTAATATTAGTCAGTGGGTGTTGCTGTTTGTCTCAGTTTTTTGTTTACTTAAGAATTTTGTCACAGTGCTATGGTCCTCTCTATTGGTTTACTTCACAGCTTGTACAGAATTTAGCTTGCTATAGGGTTTGTCAATTGTTGATGACTGTTAAATGTCTTACTTTTAGCAAACTTGTGCATTGGGTTGCTGATTCATTGATTGTTGACCTCTGAATGTCTTCATTTGGTCACCTTGCTGTCTCATTGAGTGATGACCTTAAGACGTATACTTTTAACGAACTTGTGATGTTTGGTTGCTGTCTCATTGACTAAAGCTGACACCTGTTTTTAATATGGTATTCCTGGACACTATTAAATTAGAGTTGAACAAAATCTCCTTATTTTATTTCAAGCAATAATGTTATGAGTCTTAAATAAAATACTAGTTAAGATTTGAATTTACTAGAATTGTCTCCCCTACCTGGCATGCTCATCTGTCTCATCATTCTACCAGAGTATAAAGATTGCTGTTGCAGCATCCCCATCTGGCTACTATTATTACTGTTAAACTGTCCCTCAGGGAACTGGAACCGTGATGGGTTGCTAGTCCCTCCTGATAATGACCGATGTCTCTGCATGTTCATCTGTGTAGTCTGCAATTGACAAAAACATTCTATTTACTGCTATGTAACTTATAAAAAAATAAGGAGTCGTGGTGTTTTTGCATTCGAAACATCCATCCACCAGAGTTCAAATGATGTGGATGTAAGGTTATCCAAGACGATCCATTTATCTTATAAGAAGAGATAGCAGTAATATAAAGCAGACATTTTGTAGATTATGTAAATAAGTAAAGCTTTGTCTATTTCATGATGATTAAAAAATATATAGGTGCAAAGAAGGGTTCTTATGGTACAAACAAAAATATGATTTCATATGTCTCATATTTTTGAAATGCTTTTTTTTTCTCTCAGGAAACACATAAAATGACTTCTTTAAAAAGAAAATAGCATCAGTTTTTCTTTTTTCCTCTCATTTTTAAAGAATAGGCCCACTTCAGCAAATGATGTAAACATGAAAGTAGTCCACATAGAGAAAATATTTTTCTTTCCACTACATACAACAGTTTCTATATGATTTTTCATGAAATATTGTAATTTATACTGAAAATATTCAAGGCATAACGATACATCTTTTACAATAAGTAATAATTAAAAAATATCGTACCATTTGATCGACCTGTGACATTCCCATGGGACTCTGTAATCCCTGTTGACGGATATTCCACTGTGACTGCTGGTTAAAATGAGGCGACATTTGGGAGTTTGGAGTGGATTGTCCGATCATTTGGGGATTCATCCCTTGGTTTTGGGGCATCACATTGGGATTGAATCTTGGCGACATTGGACCTGGTATACTTTGGTTTCTCTGCAAAAAGAGACATCATTGTTTAGTGTCTACCTCTAGAAGCATTGTTTCAGAAACAGTTATGACAAAAATGTGTAAGTACAAAGTTAAATCAGCTGGGGCGAAATAGAAAAGAAAGCACAGAACAGAGATGAGTGGAAAGATCTAGTCCTTGCCCTATGTGCCTCCGGGCATAATAAGGACCAGATAGATGACAAAGTTAAAGTACTAAAAAATTCTATTCTAATGTGTTTGTTTAGGTTGAAATTGATCATCACCACCTGTTTCTATGTTTTTACAAAGGCTTGTCAGCTTTTATGAAAACAAAACTTTAAGGTCAATTATAATAATGGACTCCTTCTGTGGTTGGCCTTTTACTATTTAATTCATTGTTTCCTCTGACATAACATTTCATTTTGATTCTTAACTTTTATTACATTGGTTGCAATGATTTCTCAGTAAAAGGAAACAGATAAATAAAGGTATAGTACCTTGCAGTTTCTAATTTACTTTAATTAAAAATTCAATGTAATAAAAAGAATTAACTAATCCTAGAACTCAAATATCTTATGTATTCCAACTCATGACCGAACAAAACTGATAATCAACTCTATGGGCCTAGCATTCCTGACTCAAAAGTGTTGTTTGGTCAAGAGCTGCATATTTTTCTATATTTGAATTCTTGGATTAGTTATTCTATAATTTTTCATGTTGCTATGACAGCAAGTTATTATTGCAGTCTGTGAGTAGGAATGAATGTCAGAAAAATTGACAACTTTTCACCTTAATCCCTGAGATTTCACACACTGCAGATACAAATTCAATAACAACATGTCAAAAAGAACACCTACAGAGAATTTCTGCTTCATATTTCATATAATAACATATTTTTTTTTTTAAATATTTTGTAGGCGTTTCAGGTTGGAATTTAACAAACCAGGTGTTGTTAGAAAACAGTTTGTTATAATTTTGTCCTTGATAGATAAGTATTTATATTGTTAGAAAAAAGTTTGTTATAATTTTGTCCTTGACAGATAAGTATTTATATCAAGAGAAAAAAACCTATGATTTTATTTTAGGTAAAATACATATCAAATTTCCAGAGAAAAAATAATACTTCATTACAAAACTATGACCATTTAAAAACAAATAAACCTGTGACTATTCTGCTGTTGATTAAAATCATCCATGAAATAACAAGGTATTTTTTTTTTAAAGTGGTTTCATAAGAAACATATAGTGAAAAGTTGCACATGTCCATAAACTATAATTCTTTCGTAAATGTGTAAACATGAAAAAGTGTTAATTCTTAAGTTCAATAAATCCATATTACTTAACACAAAGCATCATCACTTATGAAACTTTGATAACTGTGTATTCATTTATTTTCATGGGCAGTAATTTTTGTTGTTTAAGGAAAAATTGAATGTCCGATGATGTTTGATGTCCTGGTTTTACCAAAGTATACAAACAAGCCTAAGGAAAATTTGTACTTTGTTGGACATTTAAATTTTATGGTTCACCTAAAACTCATGAAATCCTTGATATCCAATGTATCTAAAATACCACTGATTGTTTTTCACCTTACATCTACGGGCAAAGTTTTTCACTTTTCATCTAGGGGCAAAGTTCTTCACTTTACATCTAGGGGCAAAGTTTTCACCTTACATTTAGGGGCAAAGTTTTCACCTTACATCTAGGGGCAAAGTTTTCCACTTTACATCTAGGGGCAAAGTTTTTCACTTTACTTCTAAGGGCAAAGTTTTCCACCTTACATTTAGGGGCAGTTTTCACCTTACATCTAGGGGCAAAGTTTTTCACTTTACATCTAGGGCCAAAGTTTTCCACTTTACATCTAGGGGCAAAGTTTTTCACCTTACATCTAGGGGCAAAGTTTTTCACCTTACATTTAGGGGCAAAGTTTTCACCTTACATCTAGGGGCAAAGTTTTTCACCTTACATTGAGGGGCAAAGTTTTTACCTTACATCTATAGGCAAAGTTTTTCACCTTACATCTAGGGGCAAAGTTTTTCACCTTACATTTAGGGGCAAAGTTATCACTTTACATCTAGGGGCAAAGTTTTTTACCTTACATTTAGGGGCAAAGTTTTCACCTTACATCTAGGGGCAAAGTTTTTCACCTTACATCTAGGGGCAAAGTTTTTCACCTTACATCTAGGGGCAAAGTTTTCCATTTTACATCTAGGGGCAAAGTTTTTCACTTTACATCTAGGGGCAAAGTTTTTCACCTTACATTTAGGGGCAAAGTTATCACTTTACATCTAGGGGCAAAGTTTTTTATCTTACATTTAGGGGCAAAGTTTTCACCTTACATCTAGGGGCAAAGTTTTTCACCCTACATCTAGGGGCAAAGTTTTTCACCTTACATCTAGGGGCAAAGTTTTCCATTTTACATCTAGGGGCAAAGTTTTTCACTTTACATCTAGGGGCAAAGTTTTTCACCTTACATTTAGGGGCAAAGTTATCACTTTACATCTAGGGGCAAAGTTTTTCACTTTACATCTAGGGGCAAAGTTTTTTCACCTTACATTTAGGGGCAAAGTTTTCACCTTTCATCTAGGGGCAAAGTTTTTCACCTTACATCTAGGGGCAAAGTTTTTTTACCTTACATCTAAGGGCAAAGTTTTTCACCTTACATTTATGGGCAAAGTTTTTCACCTTGCATCTAGGGGCAAAGTTTTTCACCTTACATCTAACGGGCAAAGTTTTTCACCTTAAATCTACAGGCATAGTTTTTCACCTTTCATCTAGGGGCAAACATTTCTTCCATTATAAATTTGCATGTGATTATTTTCAGTATGAGGCATGCTTGATAAATGACTTGATTCAAAGATCTTTTGACATCAATAATATTGCTCCTCTGGTTTCTATATATTTATACAACCTTTTCTTTCAAATGTTTAGGATTGAACATTTCTGATGTTGGTAATTCCAGAAAAGTGCTCTGAACGCACAAAATTTATCAAGTATAATTTTTGTTTTTTAATTTTTTTCAAATCAAATAAATTTAAAAAACGGCTGTAAGAAAATGGGTTAACAGGTAAATAGTTCCATGTAACTACTGTTGCTACTCACCTGTAGTGTAACATTTGGGGCGTTACCACTGTTCATTAATTCAGCCAGATTTTCAGGGAACGGCTGTACTGACATTGAATTTCCATCCATATTCTGCAATACGGTTATCAAAAATCATTATAAGATTTAGCATGCCTTTTTATCATTTCTTTTAACTTTCCTTTTTGATCATATATTTTTTTTATTCAATATCAACATATGATAAAGATTATAAGTGCACAACATATTTCTGGAATTACCATTCAGTACCAAATGATGAATGAATTTAAATATCATATACCATTTGAAACCATCAATTTTTATATTTCATAACTTGACTAAAATTAAGAAATTAGTTTCTAAAGAGTCTGTATACACCTTATAGACAGAGATACAGCATATTGAAAAATAAATATTTAAATTATCTATTTTGAATATTTATAGACCTCAAAACAGACTGCAAAAGCTTTTATTGTGAAAATAAATCAAAGAAAAATATCAAAATTATTTGCAGAAATCAATTCATTAATTCATAACTAAATACATGTATTGAAAAGTGGGAAACTAATTTTTCACTAATATTGCAACTATGATAATATGGAGATTAATATCCTCTCCTGTAAATTTGATCTTCAGGGAAGACCAAAATCAGAGAGTGAAAAAAAACCCTTACAAACCGGTTTGGCCGTAGAAATTTACGAAATTCAAACTCCATGAAATTAGAACAGAGTAGGACTATATTTCCCATACTTCTAACAACTTACAGGTTGAAACCTCGAGCCAAAATTATTGGACAATTGAGCCTGCATCAGTGCTCGTCTTCTGGCTTGTTCTGCTGCTTGACGTCTCTTCTCCATTTCCCGCTGGGCTTTCAATTTCTGCTGCTGGAGCAAGGACTGCCGTACCTGCATGGCCATACTGTTTGGAAAATTGGGTCGCTGCTGCATACCATTACTCAAGGCACTTGCTAAAGGCCCTATGAGAAATAAATTACTTATAAAAAACTCTAAATAAATTTAATGTTTTTTAAGATATTTGCAAAATTGCAATGTGTGTTTTAAGGGGGAAAAAATTTCAATCAATTCAGTCTGAAGAAATAAGGAATGATTTGGAAATTGTAAGAATACCAATTTTCATGGTTATAATGCTTATTCATCGTTCATCATTGAAATAAAACACACAGGGAAAGACAAATCATCAAGTAAAAGTTGCATGCATGATAAGATCAAAGTGCAAAAGCACTGAAGGGAGTTTCTGTCTCAGATAGGGAATCAATGCTTTTTTGACTTCCAATTTTCAAATTTCTGGTAGTTGCTTTAATGGTTGGTTCTGTTTTCTTTTGTTTTTAAAACCACCATGAATAATATAACATGATGAAAATCTCTAACTACTGGTCCCGGAATCAACATTAGAGTATCAATGGACCCAGAAACAAAGCAAATTAACATTTTACTGAAACCTTTAAGTCAGTCATTTGGCCGACTGCTGCACTTATGTTTCAATACATTTAATTTGAACAAATGTGTGGTCTTAGGCCATATAATATTATTTTCAATATGAAATAAAAGCATAAAACATTGTTTTACTTTAGCTTGAAAAACTAAAGAATGGAATAGCGAAAAAATAACCAAAATGGAATTCCACTTAATCAAGGTAATTACAAGGCAGAAAAAATATTTTAAACAACTAAAACCTGCACTCTATATATATAGGACAGCATTAAGACAGAAACTGTTTTAAACAGCCCATCAAGAATATAACAAGCAACATTAGAAAGTGGCAACTTAACTCCATTGAAATAAGTTCTTTACAATAATTATAAACTTGTAAAGTTACTTAAAATGTACTTTACATAATTCTAAGATGAGGCTTTACAACAAATGACCATGAAGTATATTGAAACATTAAAAATCCTCTAAATGTAAATAAACATTTATAATCTAAATCTGCATGAAATTATAATAAGTCATTTCAAATAAAAAAATCTTGACTTGAGTTATTTGCAACAAATAACCTCATGACTTTCCAATGAATTCCAATATTCAAAATTTTAACTTTCTGAATTAAAAAAAAAAAGTGTGATCCCTGAAACTGATACTTTTCATTGTCTAACTAAGATCTCACCTGGAGGCCCAGGAAGGCGTGGCCCCGGAAGGCCAAAGTTTTGTTGTTGTTGTTGTTGAAATCCCTGTTGAGGATTAGGAGGAGAGATCTGTTGGAATCCCATATCCATATTTCCATTCCCAGGAACCTGATTCATAGCAGTCATGCTCTGCATGAAGCTCTGTCTATTCATGTTGCTCTGTGCCTGCAATGCTCGTGCAATCATAGGATTGGGCATGCCCGAGTTGGTGTGTATAGGCTCATCACGCATTAGCTCCTTCTGAATTTCCTCTATTGCCATCATATCATTGGGGCCACCAGATTTAAGACCCATTGCTTGACCCATTGCTTGATTACTTATTCCTAAAAGCTGATCAATTTCGTCAAGTGAGGCATTTTTCTCTTTTAGGACCTGCTCAAACTGGGATAGCAAGTCCAAATCACTTAACACTGGCGGAGCATTTTCATGTAACGGTCCATTATTGACTGCAGGGGTAGGCCCTCTACTTGATGATGGTGTTTTAGGCGTAGTTAAGTCTTGCTTGAGATCTTCAGCTTGTTGTAAAATTTCATTAAGCAGGGGATCAGAAGATTCTGAAACTTCGGAGAATTCCATAACATTGTCAGACTGACTATCGAACAACATTCGTTGTAAACTATCATACGTGTCTTGACTGTTATCGTCTTGTCCGATATTATTGGACGAGGAATTATAACTGTTTAACATGTCATTCATTTTGTTCTGACTTGATGTTTGATTAAGGTTTTTTAGTTGTCCCATTTCTTTACTTCCAACGGAGAACGAATCTGTACTGGTATTGGATGATCCTGAGTCTACTTTAGAATCGGATAGTGTTTTAGAAAGTAATGGTAAACTTGGTTTAACACTCAGAAGTTTCTGTGATACATCTTTTGTCAGTCTGCTCTGTGGTGTTGCTGATGGGTTAGAGTTCCCAGATATGCCTGTATTAACAATTTTTTCTTTATTAGCTTTTGTTGACAACAATTTTGCTAACAAAGCATTTTCTTTCATTAGTTTTGTGCCTTCCTTGTTTGGAAGATTAGACTGATCTTGATCTCCTGTACTATCCACTTCTGAAGATGATAATTTTCGTTTCTTCTGAGGTTGTATTTGATTTGTCTCGTTTCCCTTCTCCCATAGTGAATTCAAGAAATTGTCCAAATTTTTATCAACAATAAAATTCGAGGTATCGGTTGGTCTTTTGACTGTTTCTAAGCCAACAGACGATGGCCGGTTAAATGTTGACTGTTCTACTGAAGCGTGACGTTGTCGCTGTGGAAGATGAGGCAATACAGGTGTACTTGACTTTGAGGTAGATGGCGTTGATGTAGTGGACTGTGGTTCTTCAGGAGCAGATTGGTGGCGTTGTCGTGTTGAGAGATCATGATCTTGACTAGTACTTTCCTGTAAAGAAAAAAAAAACACTTTGAGTGATTCCTAGTATTCAACATATGATTAAATGTGATAGAGAAAAATGCCAATGAATGACAGCAGCCAACAATACAAATCCTCCCCAAAAAGAAAAAAGAAAACAAATCTAAAGGTCAAAATATGGTGTTTGATGATCTTGTAGTTTTCATTCCACATATTCCATATGAAGCAACTCTTAAATTCTCCAGTTTCTAGAATCTCCGTGTGAGAAAAGCCTTAAAACATTTCCCACATTGAATTGCCTTATATGTAGATTCCCACATTGAATTGTCTCATGTGTTTCCTTATTTCTGATAAATAAAATTCAAATTTTAAAATCATGTACAAAATCTATCAGATTAGAACTTAAACAACAAATTTAAACTTAATATTGGTGAAACAGACAAAAAAGGTGCAATAAAGAAAAGAACATTAATAAGTCATTGCTAAGTTGAGAATATACCCAAGACTGTCCTATGAATAAGTCCTGAAAACTGCAAGTGTATGAACTACTGCCAAATGGTCCCATTCGTAAAACATCAATAGTTCCCATCACGTCAAAGATAGTAAAAAATCATTATCATTTAATGAAGATTCACTTCAGTGAAGCAAAAATATATGTAAATTTAAATGTTACATCAGGATAAACAAAGGTGTGTGACACACAATAAACACTATTCAAATGTAAATAACCCGTAAAAAGTTATTTACTTTTGAAAATATAACATGTTGTTTCGGATTTTAAATCACACATTACACCTTAAACACTGTAGTTTCACTGAACTGTAACAACAGTAACAATATTATTGTGTTGTGCAAACCATAAACCCATAAATTGTAAAAATTCTTCACTTTCTACTTTAAGACTTTAAGACTTAAAAAAAAAAAATTACGTAAGAAGAAATTTTAGAACTTGTAGTCAATAATGTTTATAAGGAAAATTTAACACAACAAGCATGACGAAAAAAAGTGGAAAACTGATTATTTGAGTGAATTTTCTAAGTCCAAACTTGATCGGTATTTTATGGTAATAAGCATTGTGTATATGTTTCATAACATTTGGTTTAGGCAAACTAAAGTTAGAGAAAGGAAACCAACCTTAGGACGTACTGACAAGGGTAAAACTCAATGTCCCCTCCACTACGGCAGGAGCATAAAAAGTGTGGAAAACTGATTTGCAGGACTGATGGATGGACAGACAGAAGGAGTGCAAACCTAAAGTTCCCTTCGACTTCGTCGGTAGGGGACTAACAAGCATTCTGAGAGTATTGCATCGGAATACATAGTCCCCTTCCGGTTAAAAATTCATTGTACTGGAACAAAATGCTAACTTGTCTATATCTTCAAGCATGATGAAAAAAAATGGGGAAACTGATTATTTGAGTAAATTTTCTAAGTCCAAGGACCATAACTCTGCACAAAATCATCAGACCGGAACATAATTCGAAACCTGAACTGTAACTTGTCATGATAAAACAATCTACCAAATATTAAATCAATATCTTCAAGCATGAAGAAAAAGTGTGGAAAACTGATTTGCCGGACAGACGGACAGACAGACAGACAGACAGAGTGCAAATCTAAAGTCCCCTTTGACCTCGTCAATAGGGGACTAACAAGCAATTTAAAAGTTAAAAACCATTGTCTGAAAATGTATTTGTTCTTATTTTTCTCTCTTTTTCCTTATTTATGGGACACTTGTTTCTGTTACAAAAAAAAACACTGATCATAAGTTCACCAATATTCTTGCAACTAGTTAATTTCAGTTACAAGTTTACAACAACTGGTTAATTCCAGTTACAATTTCACAACAACTGGTAAATTCCAGATACAACTTTACATACAACTGGTCAATGCCAGTGACAAGTTTACAACAACTGGTCATTTCCAGTGACAAGTTTACAACAACTGGTCAATTCCAGTGACAAGTAAACAACAACTGGTCAATTCCAGTGACAAGTAAACAACAACTGGTCAATTCCAGTGACAAGTAAACAACAACTGGTCACATTCCTTTAAAAGTTTACAAGCTTCTTACTTAAAAACTGTTAAATAATGATGTCAATGCGTTTAAGTGAAATGAATTGACTTAAGTACCATTAAAAATTTAGCAAAAAAAAATTCAAAGAAATTATTGACATAACACGTTCTCATCTAAAATTAGAAATTCTCATTAACGGTCATTTGCCATAATTCGTACTCAAATAGGTCGAATTATCGCTCATAAGACAAACTTGTGCAAAAACGAGAAAAATAAAAGAAAAACACGTTTTTCTTTTTATCAAGCACTTGAAAATCGTGAATCTGACATATTGAACACCTGGTGTATGCTGAACTGAATTGTAATAAATTAACTTGCATTTCTCAGGCCTGTATGCCAGCATACGAACCTGGTGTATGCTAAAGTCTACATTTGATTTATACATTGTATTTCTCAGGTCTGTATGCCTGCATACGAACCTGGTGTATGCAGAACGGCAAATATTGAATCAAATGTTGTATTTCGCAGGTCTGTATGCTAGCATACGAACCTGGGTGTTTCCAAAAAATCCTTTACTTCAGTAGTTGTGTTTTAACGCTGATTTCGATTTTTTTTTTAAACTAAAAGCCTACCACTGACCTCCATATTTTCCCCCGATAGGTAAACAGAAAAGCGTTAATTTGCAGGGCAAACCGGTAAAGCGTTTACTGTTGTAAATCTAAAAATGAAAACCGATTCTCAAGTTCCACGACTATGATCACTTTATTGACATGACAGTTATCTGTTTGTTTGCAAATTAAAATTACGGAAAAATGAGGCGATCATAATTTGTACAAGGTTCCAAGTTGTTGACAAAATTTTAAATGACGTCAGGGACCTTCTGACGTAAGGCGGAGGGAATTATAGACGGATAGCACTTGACTTACGCGAGTTACTTTTTACCAGTACACTTAATTAAAATAATAGCAATTGATTACAAAACAAAATGTTTTTTTTATACTTTGTATTGGTAAATGATAAAAAGTCAAAGAACAAATGGACTATTTATCTGCGTTGAATGACCTAATAACACCTTATGTCACGCACTCCTATATGACGTCATTTACAAATGTAAACAATGTGAATGATCAATGAAGGAGTTCCCGTCACGGAGAAGAAAATGGACAATTCATTGAAAAATACGCTCTATTATCTAAATTTTAATATACCAGAAGCAAAACAGAATGTCAGATACATTTACGGTAAGTAAACCTAGCTGTTTTTGTACATTTTCCACGAATTCCATAGAACACCCTCTTTTTTTAGAAGTGACTGACTGATTTAATCCGGCTTGAAAACTATAATACAAGATTATTGATTACGCTAAGTTTGTTTTCTCAAGAGGTTTGTTCACTTCAATCAATTTCATGCTAGACATCATGTGGCGAAATTTACTGCTGTTTTACTATCAAGCTACCCCCCCCCCCCCCCCCCCCCCAAAAAAAAATAGCCTTGCAAGACGTCATAAGTATTTGGACTACCACCCACTATCCAGATTTTCAAAATGCATGGCCAATGCCCTTCAGTTCTTATTCTAACAACTTTTAGGGAAACAAAAGTCCAAGGTAATAAGGGGGGGGGGGGGGGGGGGGGGGGTGAGCGCTCACATGTTAAAACCGGCCACACTAGTCTTTATGTGCCTGTCCCAAGTCAGGAGCCTGTAGTTGAAGTTGTCATTGGTTCATGTATGTCGTATTTCTTTTTCGTAAATTGTTTTGCTATAAATTATTGTTTCTTATTTTTCATGTTGGGTCCTTTTATCATCTGACTATACAGTATTGGTTTTTCTCATTGTTGAAATCCGTACAGTTGCCTATACTTGCTTACATCCACTTCATTTTGGACTTTGGTGTACAGTTGTCTCATTTGCAATCATCCCACATCTCCTTTTTTTTACAAGGAGGTTGTATGATGTGTCCTTGTTTTGGAAAACTGTACAGTACATTTGTCACATGATCACTGCAGCATTTTGTGATGTGTGTATGTAAGAAGCTGTTACTGTAACAGGGTAATATGAAAAGCTATCAACAAAATCGAAAGACAGACAGAAAATTTTAAAATATAGTGAGCAATAAAAAACAAAAAAAGAAGTAATTCAAACAAATTAAACATACATTTATTGCGAAAGGATCAGAACAGCACATTTCAAGAGTGTTCAATTGGAAAAATGAATGTTAATAAGGAAATGACATATTTCATTGATCTTCAATCAGATGCATGGCGACAAAAATACTTTCAACTTCAAGGGAACGACTTCAATTCAACCACTAAGAACCCTTAGTTCATATACATTCTAAAATCAGTAATTGTGATAATGTTAAAGTTGTGAAGTGTATAATATTCACACATATATATATATGTATATAATATGTAGTTTCCATTTCTCGTTTCAGCATTTTTCAAACAGTGGCTATACCTTTCATGTAACTATTTATGTGTTGCTTATGAATTGAATTGTAACACTTCTTAGTGACTGGATAGGTTAAACCAATGCCTTCCTAGAAAACTACGACATCAATGAACAACACCTGACCTTTTGCTGTTCCTGCTAATAAAGTAAAAATGGCTTCACTAGAAAAGGACGACACCTAGAACATGTAGAAAAAGCATCAATTCTTTGGCTTTCCTGATTGAAGGATTTATTTTTACAACTCCAGTGTATAATATGCCATTATAAACAATTTTTACCATAGTATAATGCTATAAATTCACTAATTTCCATATCTATTAGCTAATCCAGTTAGATATCGACTTATGATATGCAGTGAAGACAGATCATTGCAAATTGTTTACATTACCGATAATTAAAATAAATGTATGCATGTTTGGCATACATCTTTGTAAAGCAAATTGTATACAGACATCCCCCTAAAAGCATTAAAAAAAAAACAAGAACTTTGGCATACACCATGTTGACAGGCAGAGATGCAAACACAATGACTTAAACACTTTGTTGTATCACTGTCTATTTAGT